AGAAGATCACTGCGAAGAGCAGATATCGGTTCAGATTTTTGTGAAGTCTGAAGCTTATATTAATAGGAGAGGGACATCATTAAAAAACAAAATATAAATTTTAAGTGCAAATGACAAGAGTAATTCCTAAGGCCTTGGACAGGGCACATATGAGGGAAATGGATGCTCTTGAATCTTAAGGTAAATTCACTCCCTGGAGATTTAGAGCTTGGAAATGAATCATCATTGAGGACGAGAAAATCATCTATCATTGTTCCAGTCCTTGAAGTAGAAAGGAAGCCTCTAAACTATGTGTCAAAGCCCTCATTGAATGGTGGGGGTGGGGGTGGGGTGGGGTGGTGAATAAATGGTAGCTTTCTACATGAAAGAACAAGGAAGGGAAAGAGGACAATAACCGTAATGTCTATCATGTGTAGGGCATGTGTCAGGCATGATACTAAGCACTTTATTTATGTATTTATTCTTCCTAGTAGGCAATGAGCAGGCACTTTTATTTTGCAGATTAGAAAAAACTACACAGAAGAGATTTATGTTACTTGTCCATGACTACACAGCTAAGAAAACGCTGGAGCATGGCTTCAAACCGTAGCCTCTGGGGCCTGAGTCCACATCCTTAACAACCACACCTGCCAACCATAATATAAATTGAGTGGACAAGCCTAGGGGAAAGAGAATATTGACCAGGAAGGTAGGGGACTAAACTTCTGTAAATCGCAATGTAAAGTGAGAGGACAATTACCTTAAAATATTTTAGAGGAACAGGAAGAGGAGTCTCCTTGATCAGCTCCCCGGTTTTCACACCACTTCATGGCACAGATTGAAATTTATGTATTTATTTGTTTCAGCATTGCATAGACAACATTGCTCCTTTACTTGCTTTGCTTTGGTGAGAGAGAAGCTGGAGAGTCATCTTGGATGTCCTTAGAAGGATTAACAATTCTTGAAGCACTGGAAAATCTTCCCATTTTACAAAGATAATGGTGCAGGTGGATGTAATTTTTCCTGAGATGTAAATATTGTGTCTGCAAGTGGCAGAACAGGCAGGCAGGTCTATCACTGGAAAAGTGAATAATGATCTTATGCTTTCTGAGTTTGAGGGTCTGAGGCTTTCTGGAGGCAAAAAACTACACTGAACATGCTGGGTGATAGCTTTGTTCTTTTTCAGAAAGGGAGTATGATTTTTTAAAAAAATCTTGTTATATAAATCTGGAAAGGAAAATCTGCTGGGTCCTGATAGTGTGCAGATCACTGGGGGGCGGAGAATAGGGTGTTGATCTAGGTCTTCAAGGTGGAGGTGAATAATCCATTAGTGGCAGACTGTAAAATAGACCCCCGAAAGATATCCATGTCTCATCCCTGGAACCTGTGAATGTTAATTTATACTGGGGAAACAGGGACATCATGAAGATGTGGTTAAGAATCTTATGATGGGGAAATTATCCTGGATCATCCAGATGGGTGCTAAATGCCATCACAGGTATCCTTCTAAGGGGGGATCAGATGTACAAATCACATACACACACACACACACACACACACGAGGAGAAGGTGATATAAACAAAGAGGCAGATATTGGAGTGAAGTAGCCACAAGCCAAAGCTCTGGCAGCCATCAGAAGCTGGGAAAAGTGGGGAACGGTGTCTCCCTTAGAGCCCCTGGAAGGAGCACAGGCCTGCCAACACCTTGACTTCAGTCCAGTGAAACTGATTTCAGACTTCTGGCCTCCAGGACTGCGAGAGAATCTATTTCTGTTGTTTTAAAACACCAAATTTATGGTAATGTGTTACAGCAGCCACCGAAAATGAATATACCATTTCTATCAAAGAGGTAGCCTTGGAGGGAGGGGAGTCATTCTCCTGAAGTTTGCATGGTGGCCTGTTTAGGGACCTGTATCTGCAGAGACTTGCTTTATCTGTCAGATTATTAGGACTTGTCAATAGCCTTCTCTGTCCAGTTTATAAGGCTATGTGTCCATAACTGTACCGTGTGGCAAAGAAAGGTAAACACAAGTGAATCAATCAAACCCCATGCTCTGACTGCTTAGACAATCCCATCTTAACTGTCATTGTGTGATCTTGGGAGTTAATATTTTTAAGCTTCCACACTTCAAGAGGAGAGATATAGAGTGGCCAGTCTGGCCCCAGCATCTATGCATATTCCTGCTATCCTATGCTGATTTTCTAGTGAGCTGCCCGTTAATATGACAGATGAAGGCTTAGGTTGGTGAGTTAAGAAATGAAAGCTATATGACCTATTTACAACCCTAGTTTATGAAGACATTCATAAGTGTTCCATCTGTAATTCTAATTTTGAATCAAGAGGCAAAAACCATTTCCCCGAAAAGATATTCATGTGTGCAGGGCTGAATGAAGCTAGGAATTTTTTGCTTAGTGTCCTTCTTCTGTTTTTCGTTTTCCATTACAAATGAATGTTTAGAGACACTCTGTTTTCCTTCTTAGATTTCTCTGTGAGTTTGTCAAAGAAGTGTGTTAGAAGAGCTCCCTTCACTAGCAATCAACATCAATTGTGACTCCAAATAGTACTTTAAATCCAACTTGTTCTACCTGCCACTCAACCAAAGATTGTTTCTAGAGGTCACATAGCCTCCACTTAATTACTTCCGTTCCTATTCATGCTACAGAATAAGAACTTACTGATCTATCTGGTGGGCATTTTAGTTTGTATAAATTGAGATTCGAGAGTTCATTTGGATAAAATAAGATGCTGGCTAAAGCTCAAGGCAAACATTTGCTGATGCTTAAAACCACCTTGGGACTAAAAAAGTTTACACTCCCTGGTTTCTCTAGGGAGTAGGGTTTGAGAAAACCACAGACAGTAGTTATTCTTGGAAATCCTGCTACCAGGCAAATGCCATAGGGCAAGGGCCCAGAGAAGCTGAGCTGCTCTCCCATGGCTAAAGGCAGAGCTTATCCTGACTGGAATTGTTTGGTCAGGGTTTAGAATCCTTCCTGCTGATGGAGAGAGAGGAGGAACCTGAGCAAAAAGAAGGATGACTGGACTGGCTCTTAGAATTTAATCCCAGAATAACTGCCCAATTGAGGTCTTCTCCTGATACTACTGACTTCCTGGTAGCCCTCTTTACACTTAATCCCTGGTTATTCCTTTTTTTTTTTGAAATGAAGTCTCACCCTGTCACCCAGTCTGGAGTGCAGTGACAAGATCTCGGCTCACTGCAACCTCCATCTTCTGGGTTCAAGCAATTCTGTTCCCTCAGCCTCCTGAGTAACTGGGATTACAGATGTGCACTTCCGTGCCCAGTTAGTTTTCGTATTTTTAGTAGAGACAGGGTTTTACCATGTTGGCCAGGCTTGTCTTGAACTCCTGACCTCAAATGATCCACTCACCTTGGTCTCCCAGAGTGTTGGGATTACAGGCGTGAGCCACTACACCTGACTGATCCATGGTTATTCTTCTTGTGTATCCCCTTTCTACCAGGATATATAAAGACTATTGAAGAATGTATCTGCCCCAAAGCTTCTACTTAAAACAGACTTTGGTGGTTTGGGATTAAAGACAATTTATATCTCAGTTCACTTAGGATCTTGGATAAAAATTAAAATGTTATAACTACCTGATAATACTGAGAATACTAAAGAAGTATAGTGTGATTCTTAATAAGTACCTTGACACCTTTCCTTCAGAGCTTAGGGTGATTCTATGGTCATTTTGCTTTGTGGTTTTCTTTCCCATCTCACCAGTCTGATATTACAGAGCAAGTTTATGTTCTGATTAGGAAAAACTGCAGTTCACCAAGATGCTATATTTGCTATTCAGTGAGTCATACTAAAAAGCCTCATGTTCTTAAATGACATAAGGAAATGGAATCAAGAGAAAAATCATGATCACAAAATGCACCATTCCAAAAATCTAGAGTGGGACAGAAAGATCAACCATCTAAATGCAAACCTCCTTTGAACCGGAACTGCTATAACCAGGGCAGCAGATTGCTCGAGAATGGACATTGATTTTCCCAGGCAGAGGGTAAAGTTGTAAACAGTGGATTGTCTACTGCTGAAAAACCCTTTCAACATGTTCAGTGCAGATTGGCTATCCTTTAATATTCAATGTACAACACCATATCTACACACACTATAAATGTACATGAGTGTCAGTCATTTATCTCTGAATTTTCATGTCCCAACTCCAATACCTAATGTTTTAGAGATGCTTGGATGATTATATCATAAGGTCCTCACTCAATATATATTTTCACTTTTTTTTTTTCTTTTAATATGCTTGATTTGTTTGGAATCTACTTTCAGGTTTTTTTTTTTTTTTTTTTTCCCCCAAAATGGGCAAGTTTTTCAATAGGCTTTGGTATGGGGCTGCAGTGAATGGGAAATGGTTAAACCATGGTTACATGCTAAGTGACCGGCTTAGGGGATGAAAAAGAGAAAAAGGAGTCACCGATGGAGCCATCAGTCAGCCAACAAAGGTAGGAGCGTAGGAGTGGGAAATAAAAACAGATCCAGAGAAACAGAAAAAATAATAAGTTAAAAGCCAATCTGAGTGGTACCTAATAAGAAAGGGAGGCACATCTATGCATCTCAAGGCAGCAAATCCAAATAGGGAAGAGGCCAGAAATAGTTGATTGGATTTATTTTAAATAGTAAGGATATAAGGAAATAGTAATAATAGAATAGGCCAAGGTGGACAAAATGAATGAGATAATACACATACTGGTGTGCTGCTGGTGGGCACTGTTCATTTAATACTATGTGAGCTTTATGGGACATGATAGTAAAGGCATGCGGTTATTGCAGCCAATTGGAAGCAAAAGCTATCATAAGAGAATAATGATTGTTGGTGATAGGTTTTCTTTTTAAGTAGAGATACTATTAGCAGGTTTATGAAGTAAGAGAAGACATCTGTGCTGACTGTACCAGAGTCTCATGACCTTGTATGGTTTGCTGGGGGAAATGGAAAACAACAGCAATAACAAAAACCTAGCTTCACTAGCTCCTTGCTCTCTATTGCAGGAAATCCCTGAAAAACCAGATGGCACAAGTTACTCAGAAGAGATGAAAGGGTTTTCCATAATTCAAATAGGAGGAGGAAGAGGAAGTGTGGGAGTAATTACTGGATTAAGATCACTGAAAGACAAGGTTGTCTTTAAGGGTGAGTCCTTTGGTTGGTAAATTTCATATAGGAAAAATTCTCAAGTGGTTGCCAATAGCTAACCTTCAAGATGAAGTACATAAACCTGCTGACAGGCAAACATGACTGTCGGGTTTATTTCAAACTGCCCATACTTATTAAAGCTCTTCATTGCACTAGGTCAGGGAAAAGTTACATAGCGTCCCTGATTATACTTCATACTTCATTTCTAAATCTGAGTTCTGAAGGCGTGTGTGTGTGTGTGTGTGTGTGTGTGTGTGTGTGTGTGTAGAGAGTAGGAATTCTGAGACCTGATAGTGCTAACTCTGGAGTTTGATAGGGATAATACAAAAAGAGAGAGGCATTTAAGGAGGAATATTAAAAAAAAATGAAGACTAAGGACTCACCCCTAGCTAGGAATACACATGACCCTTTTGCCACCCAAACCATACCATTGCCATTTGAATCACTACTTAACTAAATGGTAGAAAGCAATTACAGTAAGTGGTCAACTTAATCACTTTGCATCCATACAGACCCCTGGGACTTCTCATAAACTTCATCACACAAAGTGCCCACAATTCTCTGCCTTGCAGAAATATGTTTCTTACAAGGATTTGTAGTGGCTTTCCTACTAAATTTCTGGACTGTTAAACTCATTGTTCTATATTTCTGCTGTCTGCTGTTAAAAGGAGAGGCCAGCTCAGGTTTTGCATACTGGAGGAAGTTTGTTTTATCCATTTGGGAAATCAAGATTACATCTTCATGGGACTAGAGATTGTGGAGAACTCATTCCTTCCAGCGCCAGCCCCTGGTGATCTCATTCTAGTGAGTAAAACCTCAGGTCAGTTGATTGTAAATGGATTTTTTTTTTAAAAAAAACAAGCTTAATTCAGGCTTTTATTGCTCTTGTGTTCAGTGGATTCATCTTGTGACTGGCTCCAGATTGTGCCCTTCTCCCATCCCACACCAAGCTGATTTGCAACTTCACACAATTGTTCCCAAGGAGAGAATAATTGATGACTCAGTATAAACCCATCACTACTCCTAGAAAATATAATTCATGAATGCATTCCTTATTCAAAAACATTTAGTAGCATTTCATAGGGAGGAGATCAGCATATTATCAGAGAAAAGATTCATGCCACATTTTGTTTAAAAATCTGTTTCATTACTTCACAGTCACACTTCAGTAGGCCAGGCTATAATGGTTTCTTCCTGGCCTTTGAAATGCTTCCTTTGCTTCTTCTGCTTTATAGAGACTCAAAATGAATTATTCAGATACTTGTGAGCATTAAGAAAAAATGGCCTAATTTCTGAATAATGCCAGTATTACCTTCTTAGTCAGACTGTGGGAAGAATATGTGCTCATTCCTCTCCCAGAAACACCTTTCCTAACCTTCTTTCGCCCAATACATCCATTTAAACCTTCTCAGCCTTAGATTTTTAACTGAGATACAATTTTATCTGAGAGGGTTTTCATCTCTCCTTTACATACCCAAATATGGTATAAGTTGATCTTTCATCCTATAGAATTCTGTGCTCCTCCTGCAAATCCCACTTACCAAATTGCACTGTTAATAACGTGGTTACTTACCTGCATCTTTGCTTTAAAATGTACTTGGGGGAATTTCCTTTTTAATCTGCCTCCCCCAATCTAATGCTTAAATGTTAACAGGTGATCTAAAGATATCTTGGACAAGTAGCTACCAGGGAGAAATTCATGCCAGATACCATTCTTAATGTTTTACATATTTAACTCACTTAAAGTTTACAGTAACCCCATAAGGTATGTATCATTAACATTCCCAATTTAAAGTTGGAAAAATTAAGGCACAGTGAACTTTCATAATGTGTTGAAAGTCTTGCAGCTAGTAAATGGTATAGCAGGGTCAGTTCCCAAAAGGAAGAAGTGAAGGGTAGGCAAAATGTAGTAGGTATGCACAATATATTCAGTAGATCACACTATGGATTGCCTAGATTATCTAATAATCAAGGTTTGGAAGTATTGAAAGGCTTGTTTTTATGAAATGCTCATTAATGCATTCTACTTCATAAACTGAATGTTTGCAGTGGAATTTTATTCCATCAGCACATTTGCATATAAAGTTATTTAAATTTACTTTTTTTAATGCTAAAAAAAAAAAAAAAAAGCAAAAAGCAAATCAACCAAACCATTTCCTCCCCAGTTTCGGCTGCAATCAGCAGTCATAAATCCTTAAGTGTTAAGTTATGTTATTTTTGAGAACTGATGTGACATGTCCTAGATTTCAAATGTAGATGCTGCAGAGGACCACGTGAGCTTTTGAATAAAAATTGGTATATAGGACATAAACATTAAGGAAGCAGGTAGAAAGACACAGCTATCTGAAGAGTCAGATCTGAACTACTGCCACCTAGTGATTTGAGTCAACTATCGGCCCCCACACACTCACAGATACACACTAATTAGAATAAGTGACTTTGGTTGTGGCTTCTTCCTCACTCCAAATATCATGGTAGCAAACTCTTCCCGCAACATTTTAAGGCCTCCCTCACATACTTTAAAAATTATAATTAAAAAGGAGGACAGAATGGTAGGATTGGGAAAGAGAAGGGTTAAATGACAGAAGAGACATCAATATAAGGCAGAAACACCAGAACAGTCGTGTAAATTAGACGAAGAAAAGTGAACATCAAAAGTAGTGGAAATTAAACGTTATTGATAATAGAAGAAAATAGAAAAATTGATGCAAAGATAAGAGAAGGCAGCATGAAGGAAAGGGGGCTTTCTGATTGTTTTTAAGCAAGTAACAGAAGATGATAAAACAACCATATGTGGAATTGTGAAATCACCAAACATAAAAAGACAGAGGGATAGGTGACACCACCAGAGATAAAGAAAAATGATGAATGAAAGAAAGTGACTGAACTGAGAGCTTAATCTTGGAAGAGGGACTTCAAGTTTTTTGTTGTTTTTTAAGTAATAAAACCAAAGTGGCATATTCCTTGTTCAATTTAATATAATTGGAACTATCCAGTGCTCTGGATGTACAACTCATTTTTCTTGCCATTTTTTTCCCTCCTATACCTCCAATACCCATAGTCCTTCTTGATTTTTTTTCTTCATTAAAAGAGTTTTAATTACCTTTTGGCTCCCTTGAGATACTTTTGAACTTGCACCTGGAATCAGGGAAATGGACTGTACCCCAAAATGAAAATTTAGGGAATTTTATTATTATGGAACTCTTTGCAATCAATCATATCGAGCAGCCACGCCTTAGCAATGTGCATTCAGGTGACTACTGATATTCGGGTATTGTTATAGTTTGCTGCGGGGTCACCTACATCAGCAGCAAATAATGACACCTAACATCTACTTCATTTCATGTTTTGAAAGCATTTTAATGTATGTGATATTTTATTTCCCGAAAACTGGTGTCTGGAAGACAGGGCTGGTAGCATCAGCCCCTTTGACAGATGTGGCATTTGGGTTCTGAAATGTGTCTGAACTTTTCCAAGTACTCAGCTAGTGAGTTCTTTATCATCTGACTGCAAGTCTGGCAAATATGCTTTCATTAGCAATATTTCTATTCTCTTTGAGAGAAGGGAAAGCTACTTTTCTTTGTTCCAAAGTAATATTGGAGTTTGAAGCCAGTGTGCATAAAGCTGTGAAGGAGGTGTTGCTACTTCCTTTTTTTACAGGAATCTCTTTGGAGAGAGATTGCTTTGCTTCCTCCTGAGGGATCTCATACATTTGAAGGGTTTCTGGCCAGGTTGGGAATGAAGTTGAGAAGCCCTTACCTTGTAGGTTTTCCACCATCCTTTATGGCTTCTTCCATTTTCAGATTCTATTGTGCATTGCTGTACTGAGAGTATTACTTCCTTTAGTGATATACATGAGTGCATCTATATATTTGTAAAAAATCAATCATTTAAATCTGTTCAAATGCCTTATCTGTGCAGAGAACTGTCCAGAGCCCTGCAGGGTTAGAACGATACGCAAAATACCACTCCTTATTTCACGAAGTTATAAATTATATAGAGCATTGGAATTGCACTTTGGGTAGATATTCATTGATTTATACTTTCAATAAATAATTATCTGGTATCAACTATGTATCAGGTCCTAGATGCTATGTGCAGGGGATACAAGGCAAACACCAGCCTGTTCTTATGGAGTTTATTGCTTCAGGAAGGATGGCATGAACATTACTCTTGCTCCTACACTACAGCAGCTGCTCATAATTGCCTATGGATAATTCCAGATATTTCTCAGACTTAACTTTTTTTCTAGTTAGGATAAAAGTAGTCCTGTAACAACCCCTTCAATTGGTGTACTTCTTTGCAACTTCTACATTTGAAATCTAGGACATTTACTTTTGGTTTTCAAAGGAGAGTATAGCTTGGCTTTTAACAATTTGTTTTCAGTCTGAACTGGAAAAAAATGACCCAGTTCATCAGATTTACCTAAAATGGGAGGAAACAGTGATATAAATTGGTGCAAAAATATCTGGTTAGTTCAACTTGATTTTCATGGATTTAGTGGCTTTTAGAGCTGCAAGATTTCATATAGTGTTCAAATTTTGTAAACCAGAACACTGTTGAATAGATGAAAGGGAAGGGGTAGGAGGTAAAGGGACAAATTAAGAGAACTTAGCAATACAGGCTAGAGTAGTTAATGACTCACCTTGGTTAGCAGCTGTGAAAACTGTGAAAGATGTAAGTAGAATAAGGGAGATTATGGAGGTAAAATCTGCAGAAATTAATATTGATTGTGAGAAATGAGAAATGAAGGAAATGGGGAACATGCAACTACTGTGAGAATTTTTTTAGCCTGGTACTGTTACCAGAACTATGGACCACAGAAAGAGAAGTTATTTGAAAGAAATTATAGCTAGACAGAAACTGCAGTGCTGTGTGACCTGACAAGTTAAAAATAATATAAATAAATCAGCAGGATGCCCCGGATGAATCTAAGCAGGGATTGAAATTTTGTAGCCAAGGAAATCTATTCTCTGCCCACCAGAGGTCCATGGGTATGTGTTCATGAGTATGTGGGCTTTGGGGGTTTTGGCTGAAGAGGGAAGGAAAGACTGGTGAAAATGCACTTGGAGAGAATAGATAGAGGACAGGATGGAGTCTCTTCTTTGGTTTTGCTGCTAGGACTAAGTTGATCTTTAATAGAAAGAAGGCAAGCAAAACCCATCAATGAAAGAAAGCAAGAATAAGGAAGAAAGGGAGGGAAACCCTTCACTGCAATTGGAATATTCATTAAACCCACATGAAACTCACTCACACTGGGGACTCTCAGTAATATTTTTGTGTGTGGGAGAGGAGCTCTTTTGGGAGCTGAAGCTCTTTCATTAGTGAATGGAGACAGGAATCAGGAAATGTAAATAATAATAATAATAATTATTATTATTATTATTACAGTAGTCCCTCCTTATCCATGGAGGGTAGGTTCCAGGACTTCCAGTGGATGCCTGAAACCATGGATAATACCAAACCATATATATACTATATTTTTTCCTATACATACATACCTATGATAAAGTTTAGTTTACGCATTAGGCATAATAAGGCACAGTAAGAGATTAGGCATAGTAAGAGATTATCAGTTGATCGTATCATAGAATTATAACAATATACTATAATAAAAGTTATGTGAGTATGAATATCTCTCTCTCAAAATACCTTATTGGACTGTACTCATCCTTCTTCTTGCAGTGATGTGAAATGATGAAATGTCTCCATGATATGAAGTGAAGTGAATGACATAGGCACTGTGATGCAGCATTAGGCTACTACAGTATTGACCTTCTGACCATACATCAGAAAGAGGATCATCTGCTTCTGGTGATCCTGGATTATCAAGCCATGACAATGTTGATGGTTGCATGTCAGGAACAGATAATATTGATGACTAACAGGTGAGTGGCACAGACAGCATGGATATCCTGGGCAAAGGATGATTCACATCCTGGGTGGAATGGAATGGTTTAGCACAAGATTTCATCATGCTACTCAGAATGACAAGCAATTTAAGAATTGTGAGTTACTTATTTCTGGAATTTTCTATTTAATATTTTTGTACCACAGTTGGCCATGGAATAATGAAACTGTAAACAGAAAAACTATAGAGAAGGGGGAAATTTCTGTATTATTAATGTGGCTTTTTTAAACAATAGGCTGATGATTACTGGAGACATCTGAGCTTTGGATAAGAAGAACCTCTGAGAGTTAAACTATTAAATCAACACACAATGAATCATGATAAAGATATAAAAATGGGTTTCCTGATCCATAGGACTCGGATATAACTTGGCATATCTAACTGGATAAAGAAAATGTGGTATACATACATGATGAAATACTAAAAAGCCGTAAAAAGGAACCAGATCATGTCCTTTGCAGCAACATGCTTGGAGCCAGAGGTCATTGTCCTAAGCACATTATTATAGGAACAGAAAACCAACTACTGTTTGTTCTCACTTTTAAGTGGGAGCTAAATATTGAGCACACATGAACACAAAGAAGAGAACAGTAGACTCTGGGAAAGTAGAGGGCGGGAGGAAGATAGAGATCAAAAAACTACATATCAGGTACTATGGTTATTACCTTGGTGGTGAAATAATCTGTAACCCAAAACCCTGGGTTGTGCAATTTAACCATGTAACAAACCTGTATATGTATGCCCTGAACCTAAAATAAAAGTTGGAAGGACAAAAAAATTTAAATAACAAAAATAAATCTGTTAATTAAAAAACATTGATTATCTATGGAAGCCTAGAAGGTGGAAATAATATCCTTTATTGATTGAGGACTCACTAAATGCCAGGAACTATGCTAAATATTTTATATAATTATCTTATTAATCCTTACAACAGGTATTGATTTTTTGTTTTTTGTTTTTTTTTTTCACAGGAGGAAACAGAAGACTGAGAAGAAAAGAAGCTTGCTCAAGGTCACATAGAGCTGGAATTTAAATTCAGATCTATTATACTCTTAAAAACTGTGGAAGAGTGAGTAAGAATAAGTCACATATTTCAAGTGTTTTGCCCCTGTGATCAAAATTACCCTTATTATGAACATAGAAATGTCAGCATATCTGGGCCCAACTACACTAAATTTTAAATCACCTGACTACACCATTTTATTCTGATTCTCTGATCTCCAATGAACTTTCTAAATATAATTTGATTTTTCATGTAGGTTTTCCGACACTAGACAGGCTGACACAACTCTTCTACACACTCTGGTGTTTGTGTCTTCTGGTGATCCTGGATTATCAAGCCGTGACAATGTTGATGGTTGCATGTCAGGAGCAGATAATATTGATGACTAACAGGTAAGTGGCACCTGTTAGTTGGAAAATTATTTGGTAGACATTGATCTTAAGAATGTGGCAGTTGATTCCAACAATGAACACAAACTCATTCTTAGTCTGCTTAAAAACTAAGATAATACATTGAAGAGCAAGGTAATTTCACCCTATGAGAACCCTGGAAAGGCAACCAAATGATATATTTATTCATTCATTTGCTTGTCCATTTGCTATTCTTCATGATTACTTTGTGCAAAGCACTGTGCAAGTCATTGGAGATGCAGTGCTGTAACAAGAGACATATTTTTATTGTTCTCAAGACCTAGTATACTAGGAAATAGAGACATGGAACAAATGTTTGTTCGAGTAGTTAACTTTAATAATTATTGTAGGACCCAAGAACTGCAGGGTGTGATGTAGGTATGGAATAAGCAAACTTATCTGATATAGGGAATCAGAGCAAGTTTACCTGTTGAAAGTTCTCTGTATTACATTTTGAATATAAATGTACTTCTGATACTTCAATAGAGTTTTGGGAGATGTTGGGTTTTTAATTAAAAATGACCAACGAGTGATCTAAAATAGCTTCCTGGAAGTTGGGGTGGGGAAGAGAGAGAGAGAGACAGAGAGAGAGCAAGCTAGAAAATAATGTTGGTGGTTTAAATGGTGGGAGTGGATGAAAGCAGACGCAAAGAGGAAATGACAGAGTCGTCTTTGGGACACCTATCCTTAGAGGGCAGGAGGAAATTGAGAAATCAAGGAAAGTAAAGTTATAAAGTAACCAGATAGTAAAAAGTATTGGCATAGTTCAGTATCACAATATTCAAAGGAAGATAAGATTTAAAAGAGGCAGGAAAGATTGTCACCAGGATCAAAAACTATGGACAAGAGAAATAGATTGAGGACAGGAACTGAAGGTTGTGGTAGAGGTTACTGACCTATAATAGACCCATTCTGCTCTTCTCTTTTATAAGCAAATGGATTCCTGATTCTTAGATGAGTACAATGTTGCCCAGTAAAAGAATTACATATATCCACCTATTTTACATCTTTATGGGCCATATGAATAGTTCTGACCAATTACATAAACAAGAAATATTGAGTGACGCCTCTGGTAAGTGCTATTCAGAAAAGGGGAACGTTTCTTTCTTACTCCCTTCATTTAGTTGGTTGTTTGGAATGTTGGTGCATGCCAACGGGTCCAGCAATCATGGTAGGCCCTAGAAGATGGATACTACATTCCTAACATTACAAGGACCTTGAAGAAGTTATACATCTTTCCCCTATTTTCTCCATAGCTTGAATAAGAAAGCAGAAGGCTTCAACAGAAATTTTGGGGTATGTATAATGGTGAAATATTGAAGAAGAAAATAATAGTCTTTCTTCCATTTTTCTGACCAAATAATGATGGCCCTTCCTGTCTTCTTTCGTAGTGGGAAAGATAATACAAACTATTAAAAATATATTGTTCTAGATCTTACTGTGTAACCTATTATTAAATTTCTGAAGGTAGCATTTTCACTTTTATCACCTGTATGTTTCTCCATGGTGTCTAGCAGAGGCCATGTCAAATGGCAGAAACTCATCTATTCTCAGTGACCATGACTCCTGGCCATAACTGAGTGGACAGTGGATAGGACACCTGAACCAAGTTGGTGCAATCATATTGGCTCTTTCAGGATCTTGGAATTGGGATTTAGAGACATCTGTGACTTATATGAGTATACTTGGAAGTTATAAGGCAATGGCTGTCCTGTATGTACATAGAGAGGCAGAGACAACAGGTATGGAGAGAGAGAATGATAAAGCAGCCATATAGAAGAAAGACAGACCATGTGTTCCTTGACAGAGAGAGAGTTTAAGAGAGAAAGGTAGAGGTAGGTTGAGAGAGAGTAACAGAGAGAGAGAGAGACAGACAGACACAGAGAGTGAGAGAGAGAGAGAGAGAGAGAAAATGATAGAAAGAGTAGCTACTGGATTTTTGATCTGTCTCCAGGCCTTCTGAGGCCTGCTTGCACTTCCACACACCATCACTCAAGATAATCTCTGTAATAAGTCTTTGTAACTTGCACACCAAAAAAAAAAAAAAAAAAAAAAAAAAAAAGGTCTTCATGCATGATAATTATTCCCTGCAGTTCCACGGAGATCTTCTAAGGGAAAAAATATAAGTCCACTTTACCCAATCTCAGAATGCCCTTATTTTAGTTTTGTGACAGTTGCTAGTGGTCCAGAGTATTTTTCAGGTTCCAAGGGAGACATGGAGACATGGGCCTACTCAAACAGCTGGAAACAAGACTGGCACTTGAGGATGTATTTGGGGCTATAGTTAGAGGTGATGATAGAAGTGGAAAAAGTGAATGAGATGATCAACTCCTAATTTTAGAAGCTCAAACACTCAAGAAACCAAAGCATTGTGAATGGAAAACAAAATATAGGGCACAATTCTAACTTTAAAATAATTATAATCTAGGTAGAGAAAAGTAAAATATACACATATGCACCTAGAACTAAATGAGTGCTACAGATTATAAGCATTATAAGATATAAAGAAGATAGCTATTATTGCTGGGCTATGGTTTTCAGGCATGAAGAAACTCAGGTTTGATTTAGGCTATGAAGGACAACCTAGGTCTCACAACGGAAAATGTAACTGACTTGAGGTCAGCTTTTCTACTGACTAGATATGTGACTGTGATCGGCCACTTTACATTTCCAATTTCACGGCAGTTTCCTCCTCTGTAAAATGAGGACTTTGTATTGGATTCACTAATTCATTTAAAACATAAACTTTAAGTGCCCACTGTAATGTACAGAACTAGGAATACTGCATAAACACCAGTCTTCTAAAAAGACTGTCACTCTGATGTGGCTATGAACAAAGGACAGTGGGAGGCAACTAAGCTGCCTACAGGTAAAGAAAAACTCCATTGAGACCACGTTTGGATGAATAGGAATTGTTAGGTGAATCCGATAATGATGGAAACTTCCAGAGAAAGGGTTGCATAGATCATTGCAAATGTTTTTTGTAGCATTAATATTTTTCTTCGCTTCTGCTTTGTTTAGAGGAGGAGGAAGGGAGTGAACAAATGTTGGGTAGGAGTTAAGCGTATGAATTGAAGAGAAGAGAGAAAGAAATAATTTCCTGAGCTTCTTCAAACCCCTAAAATGTATTCAAAGTGAATTCCATGAAGGAAAACACATGAAAAAGCAGATAATTAAAACCTCCTTTGCCTCCTCTGTATTTCTGTCTTGTATAAGATCTTAGAGATACTGAAAAAATGATATAACAGGATTCATGTCCCTCGTAGACGTTTGGGACTCCCATCCAGAGGCAGTGTGTGGAGTGCTTAAGAATTTGAGTTTTGAAGACAGATCACATGCTAGCTAACACCACCACCTACTAGTTGTAAGATCTTTAAAAATTTAAACTCTTTTGTACTTTTGTCTTCTCATCTGTAGAATGGAGATGACAACAGTAGTTACTTCCTATGGTGAGAATTAAATGTATTAATCATATAAAGTGCCGAGAACCAGCACATAAAAGCACACTGGCATTTTAAAATAAGAGCATATTAGTTATTATTACATGTTATTCCACAGAGAGTTCACCACTGAGGTGAGGAGAGCAATGGCAATGTGCATCCCTATGTTAGTGAGTAACCTGAGGGTGCTTCCCTGTGCATGGTCTTCAACAGGGATGGCTTCAAATTTGCTTATTTAGTCATGATACAAAAGTAAGTCCAATGAGGCCCTATTTCAGGCACGGTGAACTATATGAAAGGAGAAACAAATAAGCCATGAAGTACAATAATTCCAACACAAGGCAGTACATTTTAAATATCAAACAAATATTTAGGAGCTCAGAGGAGGCAGATGTGACAGCTGCCTGAAACATCAGGGGACACTTCTTGGGTGGCATGAGAAGTGTACAATGACAGACATCATTTCAGGGATTGGAGTCAGGATTTGCCTCAGCTGGTTTGTGCACCCTCTTTGCATTCACAAGCCTTTCTTTCTTCTCCCCTGAGCTTTTAGAGCAAAATCTGATCCAGAGCCTGGGGATGCTGGAGGAGCGTCAAGGCTGGGAAAGTAACATGCACTGTGTTCGCAATCAACAGAAAAGATATTTTTAAACAAAAACAATTTTCCAAGTTTCCAGGAAAAGAAACAAAAGGCTTTTCTAAAATGAAAGAAACTGTTCTTCTTGTTCTGTGACTTTTATGTCACTTGGACAACAAGCCAGTGCTTAGAAACGGTTATTTTCCTGTCGACATCACTGCATGGATACTTCTTAGAAGGACATAACAGCATTAGCACTCAATCCCAGGTTCTGCTCACCCTCCAATGGCAGTCATTTTCAAAAACAATAAAGATATCTATGCTTGGTCTCTCTGTCTTGATTACACTGCAGGCACAACCTGTGTGGGGAAACAATATCCTGGATCATACTGAAGGTTCGCACAGATGGAACATTAGTGGGAGGGGTTGCCAGCTACTTCCCTGCCAACTTGTTAGTGCTGGAGACATTATCCTCTTATTTTGCCAGTTTAATAGAGGATCAGTCGTAAAAATTCACTGTAGGCTCAGCAACATAATTATTATCTATGGTCTCTGCATTAACTGTGAGAAAACATCATAGTCTGAATCTGCCTAATTTCAAATGCCAAGCTGTGCCCACATTCAGCCCACAACTGAACCTGAATACTCAATATATCCCTAGCACTGCTACTGCTGTCATCATGGCGGATGTTAAGTACGGGTTTGCCCAAGCTATGATGCTTAACTGTTGCCTTACTGCTTCTGTATTTCTTCTGTTTCCCTGACCCTTTTCAATACCAGCCCCATGCAATTTAAAACTATTAAAAAGGTAAAAATCGGTGTCACATTTAGTTCTGGTACTCAGTACAGAAGTGCCAAGCCCCTGCAAATTTGGAAAACAAACTCCTTAACAGATGGGCCACATAAAGTTTACAACATGTGCAATGTGGGAGGTAGTATGGCTCTGGGCAAGAAACAGAAGACTG